AGGAATGTACAAATAATAAGTACACCATTTATCTCTCATAGGAGAGACATAAGGGTACAAATCTGGATCAGCCATACTTTCACGAAAACATGTTGCGATTGTAATGCACTCTTTAAAAAATGTATTTGTAGTTGGTTGGTAAACATGGGAAAAAGTAAGAGTTGCGTTATTAAAAACTTCTAATACGGCATTCAATTTTTCAACAATAACAAATTCAAAAGGATTAATGATTATACGAAGTTCATCCCTAAAAAATTCAGCAAGTTCCTCTTTATATCTTAGGATCTGTGCAATCAATTTGTAAGTACTATTCCATCTAATGTTGATATCTCTGCAAAACTTATTTCTTTTTTACCCTTAGACTTACAGAACATCTTCCAGGATCTCGAAATAAGACGAGCCCCCAAAATTTTTTTAATTCCTTCTTTAATATTTGTCAAAACTCCGCCCATAGCTTGTAGTCCTTGTTGAACACATAAATTTAAAACATGACAGGCACACCGTTGATGCAGAAATCTACCCATAGTCGTAGACGGTGGACAAATTTCTCTAAGTCTAGGAATAGCAGCAGTATTATTAGTAGCATTATCAAAACCAAATGAAAAAACTTTTTCAGATAAGTTATATTCCCGCAGAATACTCTGAAGCAATAGGAAAATATTTTCAGCAGTATGCTGATCATTGAAATCACGAAATGCAAGAACACATTTATGCATAATCCAATCACTATCTATCCAATGACAAGTAACACCCATATAAGACAAATTATGATAAGTTTCACCCCAAATATCAGAACAAATAGCAACACGAGAATTAAAATTGAGAAAAAAATTTGCCAAATTAATTTTTTCCATTTTATACTGGCGAATAATTTCTCGTTTAATTTTTTTATTTGAAAAACCTCGTGCTTGAGGGTTTAATGCCAGTTGACAATAATCAATAAAAGCAAGTTTTTCAGAAAACATGTATGACAAATTTTCTTCACAAATCATTTCGGTCATTTTTTGCCTATTTTGCTCGTCGCTATAAGCAAAAAGGCCGCCCTTACCTCTGTTAGCAAACCGAGAAATTTGGGTTTGCACTTCTTGTCGTCCCTTTTTTTGGCCTCGTATTTGGCGTACTCCACGGGATGCCTCGACCTTAGGTGTTTTTCCGAACCGCCATAACCGCCGGAAACTCCCATTTTTATGACGGTCCCGCAATGTTTACAAGTTCCATAAACTATGCCATCTTTTGTGCCTTTGTCAAAATGATAAACAAATAATTCTGATTTATATTTTTTTTATCTTTGTCCGGACCTCGAGAGGTCTCGGGCTCACCTGCCTCCACGTCGACGTCGTTGCTTTGCGGTGTAGGCTCATCGTCCCCGTCAAGATTATCCATTCCTGCTTCATCAACATCCTCGAATAGACTATCAAGAGTGGGGAGATTCGCGTCTCCTCTACCAGAATAAATCTGGTTGAATTCTTCATCCATCATAGCGTCCCCGATTAAATGATCTAGGACAGTAGGAAACGAAGAGACGGAGTGTCTTCCTCGAGAACCGTGTCCGCGTGAGGTCGAACCGTCGGAGGTGGCTTTAGCTTTGCCTTTACTCAATCTTCGGTTGACGTCGCCCATATCAACGGACCATCTACCGGACTCCCTCGACATTTTAATATATATTTTTTTGATATTAAAATAATATATTACTTTTGGAAAAATTAAAAAAATTTCAAAATTTTATATATTAAAATTTCGAAAATTTCAAAAAATAAAGAATATATTTAAATTATTTAAAGATTAAAGAATATATTTAAAAATTAATAATATTTAAAATTTTGAAAAATTTGAAAAAATTTCAAAATTTTATATATTAAAATTTTGAAAATTTCAAAATTTTAATATATAAAATTTTTATATTATTATATGAATATTAAATGTATAAAAATTAAATAGAGATAATAAGATTGAGAGATTGATAAATTGAGAGAATGAGAGATGATTGAGAAATTGAGTGATTTTTTATGTAAAAAATGTGAGAATTTATAGATAGATCCTTCCCCCCTCCCCTCTTCCCCTCCCCCACCTCAACGGCTAAATAGCCGTTTGAGGTGTGCCCCCCACTATTTTTTTTAGCTTTTTTTGGGATTTGAAATGAACAAAAAAAAAAATTTAACCGGTACCGGAACCGGACCGGTACCGCCGGTACCGGTACCAAAAAATAGGTACCGGGACCGGTACCGAAATGGGCGGTACTGGTACCGGTTCCCGGAACCGGTGACACGGCGACGACGACGGTGACGGTGGCGGGTACCGGCGGTACCGTTGCCGGTGACGGTACCGTACCGGTACCGTGTCCACCCCTACGTTTAATGCTCTGACGGCTCAATAAAATGATGAGGTAAAAAAACATAAAGAAGTCTTCAAAATAACTTATAAACTGCTCACCTACACAAAACTAAATTACGTAAAGCAATTAAGAATAAAAATGTATACCCCATAGTTCATCACTCGTCCAAACTACCACCTCCCTCAGTGGTTGTTGCGTCCATGTAGTTCTCCATATCCATGTCGTATCATGTCTCTTTTCGTTGACACCTCTCCAAAATCCAATCTCGATTACTTACTAGTGTATCGAGTGTTTCGGCATTGATAGTTTAAATTAGTACCGTAGGAACTAAACTCAATGGGTACTGTTGACACCGACATAGACAACACATGTCTAGCTTGCATTCCCAATATCGGGAATATGTGCTCATTTTGCTTTCACCACTCGAGCACGTCAAACTCCTTTACATTGTCTTTATCGTATAGTAGTCGAATGGGGTGCCTCCGTACATCGTAAATTCATTGTGCTTGCATTCCCAATATCGGGAACATGTGCTCATTTTGCTTCCACCACTCGAGCATGTCAAACTCCTTTACGTTGTCTTTATCGTATAGTAGTCGAATGGGGCGCCTTCGTACATCGTAAATTAATTGTGCAAACTTGGCTGGTACTTGTAGACGTGGAGGCAGTCTTCTTCTTTGATAAGTTGTTACCAATGATATTTTTAAAACCACCCTTGCTCTTCGATGCAAAACGAGATCGATTCTCACAAATCTCCATATTGTTTTCGTACAAAGTAGGAAATTCATATAGGAAGCTTTAAACAATAGAGTAGTCCTGAAGTTGTCAGTCTTCCAAAAAAATAAATGTTGAAAACAATAATCATTTTCATCAAACAAAATCATAGTAGTACTTCATAAGAACTTCAAAACTTTTAGGTTTGAAATAGGTATCACAAATAATAATTTTGTAAATATCACGTTTGTACAAGATATACTCACACGACTCATCTCCCATAGAGGCAACATATGGAAGCGACAAAGGATCACTCAAAATTTCACGAAAACAGGTAGTAATGTTATTACACTCATAAAAAAATTGGTTACTGGTTTATAAAAACTAGCAATGAGAAAGATAAAGTAGCAGAATAAAAAAATCTCTAACATGTTGGATAATTTTTCAACAAAAACAATTTCATTCATTTGTGGAAACATGTTTCGTGATGACAAAGAAGTCATCCTAAACTTATCCACATCTCCCCACTCCTGGGTTTAAGATGTTGAAATTATAAGATTGAAAAGATACCACACTGATGGGTATGGATGCTATTAAAAATAATCATATCAAACATATTAGCAAGGCTGAAAATCTAAAAGAAAGCAAGTTCTTTTCTGTAACTCAAAACCCTTTTAATAAGTCTATACACATTATTTCACCAAATGCAAACATTTTATCAACTAAATTGCATTCATGCAAAATATGCTAAAGCAAAGTAACAATATTGTCAACGATATGAGCTTTCATTAAGCTCACGAAAAGTAAAAACGCATTTAAGCGTGACCCACTCATTATCGTTCCAATTACAAGCAATACTCATGTACGACAAATCATGATATACTCCACCCTAATTTAAGAGCACATAATTACATGAGATTTAAAATTAGCAAAAAAAAAATGGCCAAACTATTTTTCATCGGAATATTATCTAATTATTTATGTTCTATTTGTTTTCTTGAAAAGCCTATTAGAGAACGGGAGGATTTGAAAGATAGAGAAAAGAGAATTAGTCAATCCTTTTTGTGATTTTTAGAGTAAGAATGAAATCTTTTATTTATTTAAAATAGCAATAACTCTTAGACCAGTTTCTAAGGTATTACAAAAGCACTACACAAAACTAATATTAACTACAATCCATGGATACACCAATCTCACTCAATGAGATTTTGTTCTTCCACTTTTGAGCAGTGATGAAAGTTTTGTATTCCTTCAAAAAAAAATGCACCCATCACGCTCAAGGGTAAATCTAGAAGCACTAGATCTTCTCCCGGTTAAGTCTGAGGGAACTCTCAGAGATGATACTAGTATGATACTCACCCTTTTTGGAAGGACTAGAGGCACGCAAACATCTACACTTCTACCCAAGTGATACAGATGTTTCTGAGGCCCGATCAACCTCTCCAATCAAATTTTCTTTCTTCCAAACTAGAAAAACCAGCATTTCCTTTTCAAATATGATGGAATTACTTAGGAGACGTGGTTCTATACTACAACTGACAAATATATATTTTTACCATGGAGCACATCCAACCAACACTGGTATACAAGTCTGTCGAATAAGTGAGAAAATGCTTTTAAGTATGGATAGCCATGTCAAGGAACAAAGGGGGGTTAATACAAAGGGAAATACGTCCAACACAGAGATTCATTCATAACCCACAAGAGGAAGAAAAAAATGAGTGTGGGCTTACAGAACTAAAAGTTGTGCGAGTCGCTACGACGCAAAATTTGAGATCGTTGGATGTCTCCAAGGCAACTAAGGAAATGAGACATATTGATCTTTTCTTTGCCGGAGTAGATGGCGGCCGCGCTACCCCCCTGCTCACCCTGAGCAGCCATTTCAACGACCATATACAGTTTCTTGATTGGCAACTGACAAAAAGAGACATGTTCAGTGTTAGTGTCAATTAGTGTTAGCCCTGATGAAGTAGATGTGAATCATGTGATAATCAACAGAAGATAAATATAGAGAGAAAGCAGAAATCCTGAGCTTACGTCCTTTAAGGCCTCAGCAGCAGAATCAATATCCTCCTCAGAGAACACGTTAAGCTTTTCTAACACCTAAAAGATGATCATTATAAAAATAAAAGAGAGATCAAACCCTGTGTGTAATAAGTAAGCATGGGAGGAAAAAAAAAAGAAAAAAAAAAGATTTCAATGTACCATCTTAGCATCCTCTGTATTTAGTGTTGGAACGGTGTGCGTGACTGAGAAGACATCAAGAAAGCCAATTGAGTCCAAGAAACCAATCTGGCTAGTAGTTCCAATCACAAGAACTTTTTTCCCCTAAACCAAGTACAACCATACTCAATCATCTTATTACTCGACAAAAGAAAATTATACCATAAATATAACAGAACATAATAATAATAATAATAATAATAATAATAATAATAATCATAATAATAATAATAATCAGCTTTTAAAAAGGAGTTGGAGAATTGAGTAAAGAAGAGGAATGAAGTTTTATATCAGTCACAAAAACTATAAACAATATATATGTGTGTGTGTGTGTGTGTGCAGAAACACAACAAAAAAACTGAGTGCTGATGCAATGTGCATTGTGCAATAAGGTATGTTGACATTCGGGTTGTTTACTGAGTTGTGTGCAAATCAATGATATCAACACTTCCTCAAGAAGTATTAGGCCTACGATGGCATGGAATAAAACAACACATTGACTTGGCACGGTCGAGAGACAGCTGAACCGCACCTAGGTACCCTTGGTAAATGAGAGATTGGCTCGACCCGCACCAGAGTAGCCTTGGTAGAAGGGAGCTCAGCTTGACCCACACCCACGAAGAGCAGCGGTAGTCGGTAGAGGGCCACCTACATAATCTCTAGGCTTTTGAGTATGCACCATAGCTAGCTCATAGGGCCACACCTGTCTCGTGTAACTTCTATGTTCTATATATACCCCCTTTGTGCCTACGAGGCGGGATTGATCTCCGATAATTCAAATTAGTTTTCATGAACTCACTTGGAGATCATTCTACCCTCTCCTTACCTGATCCAAAAGACCACCAAATGTGTTTGTTTTGTTCATAAAAAAATGGGATGTCCCAAAATATTAGCAAGATTACGAAAAACATCTTTCTTGGATATTCATGTCATCAAAAGGGCTATCAATGTTACTCTACAGCAGTAAAACAATACTCCCTCCGTCCATAAATTATCTTCCCACTTTCCTTTTTTGTCCGTCCACAAATGATCTTCCCGTTTCCTTTTTTGGCAAAAACAATACTCTAAAAGGTCACTTATACCCTTTTCTCTAATTGCTCGAAGATACTTTTTGCACTGACCCTCTTCCACTTTCCTTCTTTATTCATCATTTTCTTTAACCTAACTCTCCTTCAAGTCTTCCTTTTCAACTCTGTTTCTTGTTCTTATCTTCTTTTTCTTCTTCATATCTCCTTCATTCTTCAACCCCCACGTAATTCAAGATTTTTACTTTTTCGATTTTTAACCCCCACCAAATTCAAGTCTCCGTTTTCAATTCTAAAATCTTAGAGAAGGATTCATTGGATTATCCAGTTTTCGATTGAGTTCGCCGGTCGCTTGTTCATCTATGGTCGTCACCATTTGCACGAAATGGATAGTAGGAACTAGGAAGGCGCGGAAGGGCAGATTCCTTCTAGATCGAAGAAGAATAAGTAGCCTCTTTTTCCAGATCTGAATAAATCTCTGCCCGTGGCTTCCCCTTTGTTTTCGATCTCAATTTTCAATTTTCAGATCTATTTTTTCCATATGCAGTACGAATGGGGAGATGATGATGGAAGGTTGTTGGCCGGCATTCGATCCACAGAGGAAGAAGACTATGACGAGGTCCTAACCTTTGATTTCTAGCATTGCCGGTACAACGTTGAGTCGACGAACGACGATTTTGGCTAGGAGGTCGGAATCCGAGTGTTGACAGGGTTGAGGCTGAGACGATTTGGGCTGGTGCTGCCCGCTATTTGCTTGTGTGCAGGAGAAGGGAGGGAGGGGTATTTTGGGATGTCAACCATATTTTTACTTTACCTTAATTTGCGTGCCAAGTCAAACTGGAAAGTTTATTTGTGGATGGAGGGAGTATTTTATTTCTGGTAATGTCATCTCTATGAGGTCATTGTTCTTATACACACCTTCCCCAGATACCTATCTTTTGTTAGACTTTGTCCTATATCTCTGACTCTTTTCCCGGTTTATCAATGTCAACCTCACCTTTTCAATACTGAGATACCTAGCAATATGAATCATATAACCTTTTCCTTAGGAGGGCAGAGAATGATTGTTTTGTTATGGACAACAAAAAATGATGAAAGATAACGCCCCTCATAACGGGGCAGTTCTTTTGACATTGGCCACCAATGTCATGACATTGGTCCATTTGAGGACCATACGATGCTCCTTTTGGCCCTTAAGTGTTTTTTACCGCCACCCCCCCCCCCCACCGGGTGACAATTCACTGTCAAAATCTAGAATTTAGACAGTAGGGGAGCCTAGAGGGGATGGGGTTAAGGGGTGGAGGTTCATAATCTATAATAATAATAATAATAATAATAATAATAATAATAATAATAATAATAATAATAATAATAATAATAATAATAATAATAATAATAATAATCGCAACACCTTACCCCTAAAACACAAAGAGGTTGTTTTAGACCTTTGATGCACTCATGCACTTATCCATTAACTCTCCAAAACTTCATAAAACGTAATAAGGTAGTTTAATGTACCACCTTGATTTAGTCCATTATTTCCCAAAGCTCCTTTGTCTCAAATTCACAACAAACCTTAAAGTGGAGAGCAACACCCTTATTTAGATTGTGGAATTATGTGATTGAGATTTATACATAAGGAAACAAAAAGGTCTAATCACACGACTACTTCTTTGAGAGGAAAAAAATTGTTTTGCGAGACATCCAGAAAAGGAAACAATGGAGTTTATATTGCAACAATGGGGAGGGCCGGAAGATACTAATCTCGTTAAATGTCAGGCAGGGAAATATGGTTATTTGGACAAAAGTACTGAGCGTGATAGAACACCCCCACCCCGCCCCCCACCCCCGCAACCCAGTTTGTATATAGCAATCGGCATCCCTACTTGTAGAAGTTCATTACAGCCACAGACTTTCTTAAGTATGATATGAAGGCTATTGATCTAGTAATTCCCACGTCCAAATCGTCATCATCCATTGATACACTACCAACAAAAAATTGGCAATTGCATGGATATGATAAATCATTAGAGATGGATTGAAAAATCCATTCATTTATAATATATTAAAAAATCAAATCCATAGGGGACTGGTTTAAAGCATCAATCAATCTACCCATTATCACTTTTTCATTGGTGGATATCCTATCCATCCAATTGTTATTACTTTTCATGCATAGAGATGGTTAAGCAATGCTTAAAATGACAATTTAGCGTATAAATACTAATCAACAAACTAATAAGTCATTAAGGCGGCATCTCTTTGGATAAAACTGAAATGATACATAGAAAATTAGCATGGTCCTGTGCAATGATGACATGCACAAATCCAAAAATGGTCCTAATAATTAATGTGATGAATTCAATGGAGGACATCAACAACACAAATATAGCATAGGGAACGACAGAGAAATTACCTTTGGAGGAAGTTGTTTGAGGAGCAACAACAATGTTTGATATATCAAATTTGAAAATCTAGGGCCAATGGCAACATACTCAAGTAACCTGTACAAGTGAATAATGGAAAATACATAATTGGCATAGAAGTACATCTAAAAACCATACATCTAGAATTCCAGACTACCTTTCAATGTCATCTACAATTATTATGCTTAGTGGTGATTTGTAAGCATCTTCAAAAACCTGTCACAAAAATGCATGTAAACATAGATGCAAATTCTGAATGAACTTTTTTATCGTAGTCAGGTTGCTGTACAGAACCTTGCCAATTTTAGCACATTTACTACTTTCACTCAGTCCAATCATTGTCTCTGCAGAGATCTAGCAGATGAGAAAATAGAGAAGCAATATGAGAAATGCAACAATTACAAAAACAATAATAAATGTCAGCATAATCCCTCAGAATACTTACTATCTTTACAAATGGAAAATCGCTTTCAATACCAATTGTTGCTGCCATTGCAGTCTTACCACTGTCCACACAAAGATAAGCTTAAGAATATATGCAGATACTATTTGACATATGGAACGGGGCAAAACACATATAACACCAACCTGCCACTAGGGCCTTCTAAAAGGCAAGTGACAAGAGGACTCCTTTCACTGACTTTGACTTGTTCAGCTAATCTCATAACACTTCTATAGATGTGGTCATGGCGTGGACCACATTCCTCAATACCATTTAGCCTGCAAAACATTGAATTGATAACTTATCCACTTTCCTCCACAAAGCGCACCTATGAAACTAAAGTTAAAGGTACTTATTATATTTAAAATCCCAATTAAGAGCAAGTTTAAGGGCCAGCTTTTCACAAAATCTTCTACCCATAGACATGTAGACCTCGTCTCCTTGTTTCATACTCTTTTCCCAGCAAACATGATGCGGAATAAAGGTTGCCTATATGTATGTCACTCTCATCCAAAATTGCATTCTTTAATTACACTTTTTATTGTCCCCAACTCAAGGGAGACGACAAGTGTCCTCTTGTCCAGAAAATTATGCATGCTTTCAGTGAAGTTTTTGGACAGATTCATACTCAATTGAATTGAATGTTAATCCTAAGCCGTGGAAACATGTTTTTAAAGGCAACAAAAAAAAAGATTTCCTGTTTGTACCTGAAGGCTTTAATGACAAAACCTTTAGTCAACCATATGCATGTGGTGGATTCTACTATGTGCATCCCAAGCTGGAATGAATCATATGTTTCTTTTACCAGATAAAAATTGTCACATGTACCCCACCCCCACTTGCCTAAAATTCTAAAAATATGACGTTTCTCAAATAGACAATCGTTTTTAAACCTTTGGTACCACATACTTGCTACTTCATTAATACTAGTAATTATCATTATTTAAAAGAAATCCCCAGTGCAAAATGTTCTATTATGTTTATTAAGTCAAATTTCTCTAAATCCATGTCTGTGAAGGACGTGATGCATTTATGGGATCTCTTCTGCTATTGTTACACAAATGTTACTACAAGTCATGAGCATACACATTTCCCATAGATGTGATAGATATTTAAACATACAAAAATACAAAGGTGCATTAGCAAACCTGCAACGCTCCAGGTCGTCAGTAGATGCACCAAACGCAGGGATGACTTCTTGAAGGGCTTGCAAGAAGTCACCCATAGTCAATTTGATGTTCTCTTCATCTACTTGTTTAGTAAGATCATCAAGGCTCAATTGCCTGTTCAAAGCAAATGACGTAGCACTTTTCACAACACCTTCAAGCTCTGCCCCACTATAATTTTTGGTTCGTGCAGCTGGAGAGAGAGAGTGGGAGTGAAAGAACTATTAGAACTCTGTGTATGTCACTAATACACCATACAATAATGTTTAGTGCAAAATAGAATGATGACACCTCAAACAAAATAAACACTAAAAGAATTGAAACAGAGTTAATTTCACATCATCTCAGGCAAGAGCACCAAGAAGCATACCAAGTTCTGGCAAGTTCACATCTGGAGCAAGAAAAGAATTCTCCTTCATTTTGTTTGTATGAATCTGAAGAATCTGCAAACGGCCATTTTCATCAGGGAGGCTTATCTCCACTTGAACCTCCAATCGTCCAGGCCTTCACCACATGTTTTCATTTATTCATTATAAGGTAAGCATGCAAGATTTGGATTTGCTGAAGATGGTAAGTGTTCAGCAACACAAATAAAAATGATGATAGACTATTCTACCTCAAAAGTGCTTCATCAATCAGATCTTTTCTATTGGTCATTCCAATTAGCAAAACATTATTCAGAGATTCCACACCATCTATCTGCAGATCGTTAAATCATAAATATAGTCAAATACAGTGTGCAAGAGCAGCCAAATTTCCATTTAACCTAAAAGAGTTCATAGTACAAACATCATCAAGCATACCTTTGTGAGTAGCTGATTCACAATGCTGTCATGTACACCAGTTCCATCTCTAGTTGAACCTCTGGACTGTGAATACAAAGATAAAATATCACATAAACTCATTAGATCTCAATATTTGATTCTAAGATGAAGTTTTTAGTTGCAGTAACTATCAGATAAGGGTAAAACTTTGTTTATAAATCTCTAGAGATTGAAAGTAGGCATGAGACAAAGCCTGCAATAACAAAGGTATACCCTGCCAAACAAAGGATAAACTTGGCACATTGATTCAAAGATCAACTGATTTGAGCTAAACAAAGTAAGTCATGTCCAAACTACGGAAAATTTGATTTCCCATTGCTCAGTGTGAATATCATTGAAGTTTAAATATAGGATCTACTTAGAAGTGAACAAGATTGCAGTCATTGCACCGTGCTAAGACTTCAGAATGCAGTTACTAATAATTTGAGAAAAGGTTCATTCAACAAGGACAACAAACGTGATACCGTGAAATAGATAAGCTATTACTTCAAGAAAAAGTATAGTTCTGAGAAAAAATGTATAGAGTTTTGAAGCCCACACCTTACATATTGCATCAATTTCATCAAAAATAATAACATGCAACTCGCTCTGGTCACCTGGAAGATAGAAGTCCAAAATCATATAAATGGTAAAAGTGATATAATTAAATGTTGCTTTCAGAACTATTTACCTTGGGTTCTCTGATCCTGTTCGGCATCAGCAAATAAATCTCTCACATTTTTTTCAGTTTCACCAACAAACTTGCTTAGCACCTCAGGTCCATTGACGATCTAAAGCAAAATGTCAATAGTCAACCTCTAACAATCATTATGGTAGAGAGGGCTTAAGCTCATAGCATTAGAAACACTAATAGATTTGCTACCACACGGCCAATCAGCTTGCTACGTTTTTCTAAGTGCATCTAGCAAAATAAAATAATAAAAATTTGTTGCAACCTTTGGTTCCTTTCCGTTCAACATCTTTCCTATCTGGCGAGCCATTAGAGTCTTCCCAGTACCAGGAGGCCCATAAAGCAGCATTCCTTTAACATGCTTGATGCCGAGTCTTCAAATTTAAGATCCCATAGCCAAAGACAGTTTTCAAGAGATGAGGTCAGTTTCAAGAGATCTAAAGTGTGTTTGACAGAGGGGATGCAGGTAGAAAAAACATGCAAAAACAAAATTAAGATATTCATTAGTAGGATTTTCAGCATACTTAGATGTGACGCGTGGAGGGAAAACCCTAGAAGCAAAAGCTCTCCTGAATATATCGGCAAACTCTGCACTCAAACCACCAATTCCTAATGACTCTAAGTTGAACTCTTTATGCCTGAAGATGCTGCTGCTAGCAGCTTCACGTTGGTTGGATATCTGTATGATTATGAGTGGTAATTATGCAACATGAAGTATGAAAGAGAAAACATTGTGTTAATGATGGCTAGTGAAATCAACATTTGGGAATTCAATCTCCAGTAGTAAAACAAAAAAGCAAAAAACAACCTTTATTCCACTTGCTTTTGAAGCCTCAAAAATAATGTAAGAATCTGAATGAATTAGACCCCTTTCAACTGTAGTTGATTTTGAATTCCCCTCGACTTGAGCTTGATTGACAGTGAAGATATAACCAATGCCATGGTATTCAAATGTTACCCTTTGCCCAACTGTCATAACCTGCAAAATAGCACTGTTTGGTGAAAGCAATTCTTAGAGTAGTATCACAGGTCTAAGAGGTAACATTAGAACCCTAGATAAGTATCTAAAAAAATAATTGATGGAAAAATTTAGAGCATGAGCTGATGCTGATCAAATCTGGTAGACCCACACACCTTATGATCATGCATTCTGAATAAGAAATGATTTCCATCTATATACTTATCTATTCGTGATTTAAATGAGCTTGGACGTGTCATGTAGCTGAAAACATAATAATCTAAAAGTAAAAATACAGTCCACTCAGTAAACATAAAATGAGGAAACCACATTAGCTGTTTACCTGATTTCCAAATCTATTGCGTATCTGATTAGCCAACTGAACTGCATCAACCTAGAAAGAAATATCATTGGTCAACTCGCCTGACAAGCACTACCACGAGAAGCATAAATAATCAAAGAAATTATCGACAAGAAAGCCTTAGGTGCTAAATAAATATCGCCAGCAAATACTCTCAGCAACAAAAAAACATGATATATTGAAAATAAGTGATGATTCTATATTTTTACCTGCTCGTCTTTTGTTCCCTTCCGTACAAATTCCAATTCAAGTGTCAACAAAGCAAGCTTGAAATCATCAGGTGGAATAAATCTGTAGTTTACTAGGCAAATGTAAGCAATACACAAAGACAATACATGATCAACATCAAGTCAACTAAGCAACATACGTGAGGTAAAGCATCATACCTGCTCACGATTATGGAGTCCCTAGTAGAAACTTTTGCATCTCGGCGTTGAATGGCATTAAGACCAAGATAACCATTGTCAATCTCACCATGGGCAGTAAGTCATAGTTAAGGTGACCCGATGACATTGACTACTAATAGATTATTCACATTCATGCACAAAAAGTATATATATGAGAGCCAAATATCCCACTGATTTAGTAATATGATCATGTATACTTCTTTAATCCTTGATTATTAGTCTTCTGGTACAAAGTGTACAGGAATAGAATTCACTGATAATGCACTTAAATGGCTCTATTTTTTCTTATGCGTGCATTTCAGGTGAACCCAATACTGTTACAGCAATTTTCTTGCTTAGCAGGCATTTGTCATTGCGCAAAGCATTTCAATAAATATACTCACAAATTATAGTGATTTACATGACTACATAAGTCACATTATATACTCGCAATCCATAATGTCACTGGCCATATACTATTCCAGAACACCATAGCATAACACCAAAAACATTAGATAAAGAAAAGAGTTTTGACATCACCAGGCATACCAAGAAAAATGATACTCCTAATGATATAGGCAAGAGAAAATAAAATATAATTCCCATTCAGTGATTCACTAGCAGCAAACAAACAAAACTGTTTAAAATACGAAACAGAACTGTTAGAAATACGAAACAACCTAAATTCTCAAGCAATGTAGTTTATTTATTCGCAAAAGTTTAGCAGCATGCTAGGTACCATGTTCGCGAAGAGCACTGCTAGAGATCACTGAAATTACACCAAAACCTAATACAAAAGGATATGAAACGGAGAGGACGAAAGCATTAGCCACTAGAGCGTATGCCAAATTCGATCCGGGAACGACGAAATTTCGGAGATCTGCGGGGGAACAATAGGCGAGGTTGGTGTACGCGAGATCTTTCGCTGGCGTGTTGGTCACGATCATTTCACGCTGTGCCATTTCTGATTCTCAGTTTGCACCACGGAGGTCGATCAATGGGATCAAGAGTCGACGCGGGAATTGAATGTTGGAAACCAGTGGTATTTGGTTTTCTTTAGCTTGGATGCTAAGGAAAAAGGAGACGCAGAGTCCTGACATTTTGGGTTAGGTATTTAGGCCTCGTTTCAAATACTTATTTTTTCTTATTTTTTTTATTCTTATTAAAAATCAGATGAGATCAGGCCATATTAGACCAGATCAGATCTAATCAGATCAGATCTGATTAAAATTATTATTATAATTACGGATTATTATTATTATTATTATTATTATTATTATTATTATTACGGAGTATTAAAAATGAAAAAAATAAACTTTAGAAACAAGTTAAATAGAAAACTGAGAAAGTAATCCTTAATAATTCGACGTCAGAAAAATTATTTTTAAAATACATTGACAATGTCAATCTAATTCTACTTTTAAAATACATTTATATTGCTACATGTAATTTGAGTTTCTAAAGTTTTGATCTTTTACTACATCGAGTTGATCAACTTTGATCACGACTTAAACATTTGAATGATTTGATATTCATATATGGAGTATATTTTAGTGTAACTAAAAATAACTATTTGATCAGCCGGGCCCCCTCGCCCACGTGGAGGAGCACTGTGCTTAGCCAAGTCGGCATGTGGTCGGCCTACGATCTCGGCTAGGCTACATGACAGCGACGACGAGATAACGACCGCGGTAGGGACCTGGCATTGCCCCAAAATAATGCTCTCACTTGAATGTGACACTTTAACCATTAATATTTTTATTTCAAATTTATACTTTAATTTTTAAATAAAAATATAACATTTCAAAAATGGTATATCAGAACGAAACAATCATTTTGAATTTTATGGTCAAAGTGTTTTATACTTTTGACTTAAAAAGTCATGTGCCCCCAGTAAAATAAAATCCTAGATCCGCCATTGTCTCGCAATAGCGATGGGATGAAAGGGACAAGACTAAGGGACTGATGACATCCGCTAAGCGACAAACCTCGGTTAGAGGGCTTTGACCAATTATATTGTATCCCCTATAAAAGGGGTGAGACCCNAGTGAATATACTCCTACTTTGCACACACACTCTCTCTCAAAAATTCATATAGTTTAATATATTCAGTGGTTTATAGACATCAAATTGGTGCTCTCATTGAGAGAAGAGAAACATACTCGTAGGTTAACTCCCTGAAGCGAGAATGGTGCAGACAAGGAGCAACATCCCCACCACCAGCCACGTCGTAGGCGAGGAGAATGTGCCGGGCAACGGCAATGGCACAGGAGGGATACTATTCAGTATGGGAGTGACCACGGAGCAACTTCAATATCGAGCATGCTGCCACTTCCCAACACAAGGGAAAGAAGACCCAAAGGAGTACGAGGAGGCCCGGCAAGGCTCTAGTGATCGAGGAGGTGCTGGTGGAGTACGTCCTCGAAGGGGAGGACGACGAGTCCAGCAAATGTCGGGTATCAGCCTTCAAACGCCTGGGGGGCGAGGAGACTCGAGTGTCAGCTTTCGACAAGCTCAATCGCGAACCGAAAGGCCACCCAGGTGACCTCCACCGATAGATATCCGAAGGCAGGAGGAGGCATGCCGAGGAGTCGGCAACCTCAGACGCACGCTCGGCGAGACCCGAACATAGCGAAGGCCAACGGGACGCGTAGACTCAACGTCGCAGAGTCCAACGAGAACCAAGAAGACGAGGATCTCCGATCAGGGTGTGTCCCGTCTCGTGTGCGAGATCACCGAGATCAAACACCGAGTGGAGACGAGGACGCCCTACAACCAACCTATCTTGCGAACGGTGACCCCGTTCACTCCTAGTGTTATGTCAGTCCCGCTACCCGCAAACTTTTGGCCGTGGAAGATCAAGGCCTACAGCGGAACGACGGACCCTCGAGATCATCTCTCTAAGTTCTACGCTTCGATGGAGGCGGCGGCAGCCCCGAACGAGGTCAAGTGCTGATGTTTCCTCGCAACACTAGAAGGCTCTGCGTGCAATTGGTTCAACCAACTCCCGAAGGGGACCATCAATGATTGGGATATGCTAGCGGAGAAGTTTCTGACGCACTTTGCGGCCAACAGGAGGCAAAGGCTACCCTACTCCCACCTTCTCAACATCTGCATCCGCAAAGGAGAGAAGTTCCGTGACTTTATAGTTCGGAGGAAGAAGGAAGCCCGAGACGTTCATGGGGCGAATGACCAAGCTTTGGTGGCAATGTTCCTAGCAGCCCTTCCCTCACGTACCAAGAAACCTTGGTGCGCGCTAAGTTTTTAGCCTTATGGGAGTTCGATGATGCTCCCGACTCCGAGGCCGTGCCGACCAAGCGAGCTCCCGTGGACTCAAGAGAGATTGTGAAGAAGAGAAAGAAGAAAAAGGACTACACTGCGGGTCCTAGGATGCCCTCGACTGGAGTATACTTCATAGGGGCACCCGTGGGAACGGGTCAAGAGCTGGCCCTCTCCCCGCTCCCTCACGTGGAGGCCTAAGCGGTGTCCGACGGTAGCAAGTACTATGAGTACCATCGCAACAAGACTCATAACACCAAGGAATGCTCCACTCTTCAAAAGGAGATACTGATCACCCGAGGGCCAGCTCAGCGAGATGATGGAGCAACCCCATCGCGGGGGGCTCGAATGGAGAACTTGGAGGAAGCCGACCGAGCCAGTCGCGGTGGCCCTGCAAGCAAGAAACCTGAGAAGAGGCACATCGGGTGAGAATGCGATGACCCGGACGACGATGACGAAGCCCTATAAAGTCAAAATATTCATCACATCTCTATTGTAATCTACCCCACCGATCACTACTTATAACACATGATTTTACATCCTTTTCAAACAAGTTCATTTCAAATTTTAGAAATGATATCATTTCTCTCAGATTTTACAACTTTTACCACATATACATTTCTAAAAATCACCAAATAAACCCCAAATTTAAATTATATTAGGTTTATTGTTGCTAAGTTGGAATATAGAGCAAGGATAAAATTCTATAAACTCAATTTTATCACATATTATGAAGTAAAAAAAACACCACGCTTGAACTTCTACCCTAACTTGAGTGATAAAAAGCCCACTCTTTAGAATTAATGGGAAAGCCCAAAAAAACACCACACATGATGGTAGCAGGTAGAGAGAATCGAAGAAAGTTATGGGGTCTCTTTTGGGGTTTGTAAAATTCGAATTCAATGTATAACACAATGATTGTTCCATCATATGAACTGATGGAAATGGAGCATGAGATTTAACTAGATCATGCCACATTTCATAAGGAGCCCAAATCAGCACCAAATGATGGGTGCAACAGCACTGCAACCCCTCTTACATCACCATACCTCCATCAATTGTCAAAACCTGCATGATGACAAGTAGTCGCACAATGATTAAATGAGTCTAATTGTGTAAAGAGGGGATTATGGTTCTAAAATAATTGAATACGAAAAATGCTTACATGCACACCAACATAGTGGCTAGTGCACACCACTTGTACACCATGGTTTGTACTGGGACATACTGGCATAAAATGCTTGTGTTGCCCGTGTGTGCCAGTGCATACATGAGTGTGCAATTGGTGTACACCTAGCACGACTGATTTAATACATCAAATGATTTGAAATTCAAATTCAAATTCTTCAGGATCCAAATAGACTCAATCATGAGTGACGAGTTTAGATAATGAATTAACAGATAAAAATGAAATATAGTTTCTTAAACTGCTAAACTACCTTTTAAATTGAATTTGAATGGTATCAAATAGCCTCACTAAAGGAATTCGAATATCATTTAGCATTTGATTCGAATTCAAATTGAAATTTTACAATACATCTTTTTATTGTTTCAACTACCCAGATATTTGGTCAGGATAGATTTCTTTACATCCCAACCAGGATATTGAGCCAAAGCAAGGTTCTTCTCATAGGAGAAAACATAAAATAGAAAAGATTGTAAAAGATCACCTGTCCTGTCATATAGCTTGCTGCAGGACTAAGCGCAAGGAATTCCACTAGTCCGGCAACTTCTTCCGGTTGCCCATACCTTGCTGATGTAATTACAAAACATATAATTAAGTGACATACTAGTCTTTCTTAAAAGAAACTCGTGTTACATAAAGTTTGTATTCAACCCGTAAAGATATTATTTAATTTTTTCATCAATGGAAGGAGAATAATAAAGCTGATACTATAAGAAATTTAGAATAACTCAGGATGCAAACCAGCAACATGTCCGTGCAACAAAGGACGACAAATGTTTGATTTGATTGACTCTTCATGCAGTAAAGTAGCACTACTACGATAAAGGATTGAGATGTTTTCAACTTAAAAATATATACAAAACGAGTTAATTGGCCAAGATTGATTGAGAGAGGGAGAGAGGGGTGCAGGTATCTCACCCAATGGGATTTGGTCCAAAATCTTTTTCTCAATGTCTTTCCCTAGCTTAGAAGTCATGTCAGATGCAATGAACCCAGGAGCAATGGCATTTACCTATAAATATAAGTGTTTGAGTTAGTTACATGCACATTATAATTTAAAAGGAACAGGGGCGTGTCAAATGAAGCCAAAAATAAATAAATAAATAAAATTGAGAACCTACTGTTATCTTCCTGCTTGCATATTCCTTTGCCACGGTTTTAGTAAGTCCAATTACACCTGCTTTTGCAGCACTGTAGTTAGCTTGCCCAGGATTGCCAACAAGGCCTACAACCGACGCTATATTGATTATTCTTCCCTGAAAAAAACCACAAAACCAAATATCTTTTCAATGTAACTAAGAGCAGTTCCAGCTCATTTACTTATTTCACCCACCGAGTTAACACCAAAACCAAACTCAATCAGCCAGATAGCAAAGAAAAAAATGGAGATGGAAACTTTTAATATGAATACCTTTTTCTTCTTCATCATTATTTTGGCAGCTGCCTGCAAAAAGTTCAAATCTTATATCCTGAAAACCATGTTCAATTATCCTAGGGTGAACAAAGTATATGGTTAGTCATATATATAACTTACTTGTGTACAGAGAAACACACCAGTGAGATTCAAATCAATAACTTCCTGCCATTGAGACTTAGTCATCCTCATCAGCAAACCATCCCGAGTAATGCCTGAATTCAAGGAAGCTGTTTTAGGTTTAGCCAAAAAGTTTTTTAGCACTCATACACTAAGAAACTGTCATGGTGATGTCAATGATGACCTGCATTATTGATCAATATATCTACAGTTCCCCATGCATCAACTGCCTGCACAATAAACTAAAATTAGAGCACCTGCACCCGAGACGCACAATAAGTTCAAAGATTATTTTATTTGCTTACAGTTTTCATCATTGATTCGACATCGGCCTCTTTGGAGACATCTCCACCAAAAGCAAGAGCCTGTGCCCCACCTGCCTGGATCTGCAAATATAGCATAGTTAAAATCAAAATCCCTGGGTAAATAATGACACTGTTTTCTTCCAAGAAGTTTAAGAAAGCTTGGAGTTACGAAATGGAGAGATTCTAATGTATCTTATAAGGTTCCAAAGTGCCAGAATGCAACTGGCTTCAGGATTTGCTTCTACATCGTTTGCTATCATGCTTCAGAGCACATAGAGTTTCTGACTTCCCTTTGTCCGGAGTTTGTGGCAAATATCAAGCAAACATAACCGGCATTTAATATCAAATCACTAGGCTCCTCCACATGAATGCAGATATAATATTATAATCACAAAAGCCATCTACAACAACATTCAGCTTCCACTTGTTTTCTCCATGCACCATGCGCTGTGGAAGCCTCCACGCCCAAATATATTTTTACCCCTTCAATTGTAATATCCAATCTATCTAAATTCCTTTTTGGTTCTCCAGCATTCAAACAATTCACTCTATATATTGGAGAACTTCTCTACGAAAATGTGCCCAAGCCAACATAGCCAGCTCTTTCTTACCTTATCTTCAATGGCAATTAGCTAGTAACACCCAACTTTGTGTAGATCTCTACATATGTTTGTGGCAGAGGAGACATTCTAATCCTCTATTAAACATTCTAAATTTTGTCGGATGGCCCAATCCTTTATATTGTTGCTAGGTACTAGTGGTACTACACTAACCTTCTTTATTAGATCCTCCAAAATGCTTAACATTATAATGCATATAATAATGTCGGTCTTTCCATTTAGTGTCTTGGAGCACAATAGAATCATGTAGTAGATAGTTCTCGGGTCATTCGTCTCCATTTTAACAAATGTGCACTGATCATGTGTGTCAAATCTTTAATCAATGATTTCATTCTTTTGTATAACATTGTTCAAATGCTTTAAATAATCCCTTAGTAATAACTCTAATTTCATCACTGCCATTTGCCACATTATTCAAATTTTTTTCAATAAAGTGTGAAATGTAGCTTCCTCATTATTTTATTTCTCTGATCTTCAGGTATTTCTCAATGAAATGTAAAACTGACATATGGTGTGAAATGATCATGTATAAAACTTGTTTCTTAGTAGTTAGCAATATGTGCAGTGTAAGTGAACAATGAAGGGACAATAGAATAGTTCAATCAGAATTGAAGTATATAACTACTTCCAAATGTCATAGACATGTTATTAACAATTACTCCCTCCGTCCCCCTAATATGTTCTCATTTTGACTTTTGGTGGTTTTTAAGGAGAGTTGAAAAAAGGTGAAAGTTTACCATAATACCCTTAACGAAAATGGATGAAGTGTATTAAATGAGATGGGTGAGGTGTAATAAATAAAGTAAGTGGGAGTAGTTGTGGTATTTTAATTGTTAAAAAATGAAATGAGAAGATCTATTGTGGACAAAGAAAAAGGGTTATTGGGAAGATCTATGGGGGACGGAGGGAGTATAATTTAATGGTTCTCTTAATACTCGCATTTTCATTTAGTAGCAGCTATTTACCAAGTACATAGTACCTCTTTGCAAACTTCTTCAGCTTCCTTTGAGGACCTTGCATAATTAACCAAAACCTACAACGAAGTTGCACATGATGATCATTCTAACTACAAAAACACAACAATAAGAACCCACGAAAGTGGGTCTAGGGAGGGCGTGTGTGTGTACACAGATCTTGCCCCTACCCAAAAGTAGAGAGGTTGTTTCCAAGATATTCCGGCTCGCTACAGAAAACAAATTCCTAGAAACAAGCTTAAGTGGACTAACACTACAAGAGCATCACGAAATTTGAGTGTTAATTTATAAGAGGATGATTCCAAGACCTGAAGAATGAAAATACCTTACAACCCGCTTTCCCTAAGGCCAATGAAATAGCTCTTCCAATCCCTCTAGAAGCTCCTGTGACAACAACTACAGGAGCTTCTACTTTCGGTATAACTTCAGCAGCAGCTTGTTCCACTGCAGCAACCTGAACTTTTACATCTACATAAACCACAATAAGCACGAGGAAATATTAAAATAACAACCAAAGTTAAGAAAGTTCTTCAGGGAAACATAAGAAATTTGAAGCATTTTTCTGGAAAATGTCTTCCTTTCACAAAAGGTAGCTAAGTTATAAAACTTCATTTTATGTCCAAAATGCTGTATATTTACACTTAGATCATTTACTTAACCAACTCGATCAATATGAAATCGAGAGTAGTATTAATACACACATCCCTTTTGCATGTGCACTATATCACTGGATTGAAAATTTTACCATGACGAGGAAACGAGCTCTCGGATCCGCATTTCGCATACCCACATTGCAGCTTAAGAGCCGACGAAGGTTGCCGCAACGGAATGAATATCTGGCGGCGGCCTGGGAGTGAAGATCTGCCGGAAATTCTAATGCCTGTGAAGGAAACGGCAGATCCTGCGGCGGCGATGGAAGACATTCCTCGTTTAGAAAACAAAGAAATGTAGATGAGAAATACGAATGGCTCTGTAGGAATCGGCAGATCCCGGGGCGGGGGAGTGAATAACGGAAACTTTTCGATGAGAACAGAGAAGTTAGGATGATGCTTACGTTTTAAACAGAGCAGGCGATTCATTCGAGGTTTGTTTTTGGTCTTGCGACTTTGGGTGTGGTGAGTTGTTGACCCCCAAGTCGTCAACAACTATTTTGGATTTTGTTATCCGAACCAAACTTTTGAGGTTTGTTACTGGGTTTCTTTGTTTAGTCCCCTATTATCAAATATTATCACAGTAGTCCTTCTTTTATGAATGTCTTTCTACAAATAATCCTTTTTTGATCTTCAATTATGTTGGTGTTAATTTGTCTTGTCATACACAATTCCAAAGGTTGTTCCGGTTGCGTCGTTTGTGAATTACAGTCGCTTTCTACTACAACCATAGTTTATAAATATGATCTTTCGTCGGAATCCTAGCCCACAATCATAGTCATTATTTTTGTGTTATTCGTTTAACCAATATCAGAACACGTTACTAGACATAATGTTGATGTCAAATTATACTTTTAGCCTTTAAATTAATACCAACATGGCAGAAGATCAAAAAAGTACCATTTGTGGAAAGACACCTTTAATAAAGGGACTACGGGGGTAATATTTGATAATAGAGGACTAAATATAGAAACTCCCCTGTTATAAAGGACCAATTGTGGAATTAACTCTAAATTTAATTAAATTTTAGGGTCCACTTTACATGTTCTAACCAGTTAGAATAAATTTAACAGAAAATTACTATTAGATACCCTAGATTTTGTGGTAAAGACTATGAGGTCCTAAATTATCAAAAATTACTCAGGGGTCCATTAAAATTAGATGTTTAGAACTGAGAGGGGCGTTCCCATCTAACCCTCCGTTAGGAACCAAGATGCCGTTTTCTCTAATAAATAAACCTTTGCAATTCCCATTATAACCCCCACTATTCTCCTTCAAATTAAATTCAACACCACCCATTTCAATCTAGAATAACTCTTCATGTCCTTATGCTAAGAAAGAGAGGTTGTTTCCAGTTAGTTTCCTCCTTTTGCCACTACAAATAACCAACATCAAGAGCTTAGCTACTGCTATAAAATTTCAAATTTTTTCTCCTAAATCTTGGAGGTGTTTCTCTTAAATCTTATAATCTTTTATTCTCAAACTTTTATTTTCTACATATCTTAATTATTTGTTATTATTATTATAGTTTTTCTTTTCCAATCGATTTTAACTTAAAGTTTCGGTTTGCAAATTAAGATATTTGTTCCTAAAAGTAATTTCGACACTTGAGGATAAAAATTAAAAAAATACACATTTTTAAAATTGTAATTTAAGGTAGAGATAGAAAGAGACTCATAGAGAAAATTATATAATTTTCAGGAATTTTTTTTCTCAGCATGAACTGGAGGCATACTTTTCTGAAGATTATTCCACTGAAAAAATTGGCAAATACGGAGTGAATTAACCACACCATTAAAAGCCAGACATGGGCTGAAATTTAAAACCTACGTAAAGATGACAATGAGATTTGAGAAAAACCTCATCTCAGCTTGGTTCTGATAGGTAACCATGCAAGGATAGGCAGCGGAATATAAAAATTTTAACATCCTAACATGGTTATCTTGCCCAGAATCACGTACTAAAACTTATAGTAGTAAGAAATTTGTACCTTTCTTCGTAAGCGGTAAAAACGAAGAAGTCGTAGGAAGAGCGTTGAAAGTGCAAACGTAACCGTTCAAGCGTCCTGTCTCCAACTTTGACACACGAACAACGCCGGAGTCTACCACAATCTTTATGCTAGTAAAGATTATAGTAGTATAAAATATAAAGATTAAAATTGGGATAATAATAATCTTGTATATTTCTATAGAAAATATTTCTAATAATATTTAGAAAATATTATAGATATTTTCTATACACAAAATGATATTAATGGAACCAAACTAATATATTTCTCTCTCTTAAANAAAAACGAAGAAGTCGTAGGAAGAGCGTTGAAAGTGCAAACGTAACCGTTCAAGCGTCCGGTCTCCAACTTTGACACACGAACAACGCCGGAGTCTACCACAATCTTTATGCTAGTAAAGATTATAGTAGTATAAAATATAAAGATTAAAATTGGGATAATAATAATCTTGTATATTTCTATAGAAAATATTTCTAATAATATTTAGAAAATATTATAGATATTTTCTATACACAAAATGATATTAATGGAACCAAACTAATATATTTCTCTCTCTTAAATGGTATGGCCGAATAATCACACACCAATTTGATAATTTACACTCTCCCTTTATAATTGTCAAGTTTTCAACAAATGATTTGTCAATTTTGTCATTAAGCTAAAAGATAAAGTAATGAACAATTAATCAAGGATTATGGACAAAGTGAGATCCCAATTAGCCGTGTGTTTTGATTTGAGAAAGTGAGAAGGATTTTCAAAATTCTTCTCCACTTAAATGTTCAAAGTGTATTTTATTTGACACCAAAAATTAATATAAAATTAATTTTAAATCAAATAAAAATACCAATATCATTTTTAAACAAGTATAAAATATACTTTAAATAGTTTATGTCAAAATAATTATTTTCATAATTAAAATGACAAACCAAAATAAAATATTCAATATACAATATATATATATTAATCGGCACATATATATAAAATATATATATAACCGAATATTTATATATATAATATTATATTCCAAAATATTTTATTTTACTATTTTACAAATATACAAATTACTTATCATCCCATTATTTAATCCTACTCCTTAAATTGTCCAAAGTGTGTGACCCGTATAGGCAGCTGGCCACAGTATTGGCTCTGCACCAATACTATAAGCAATAAGCGGTATCTAGCAACACATTATTGCCCCCAGATTATAATTTAAGACGTTTGCACCGTCAAAACCTTTCCACGACTCAGACTCCGTGTAACTATATCCCTTTGTCTCAATGTCTAGACTTAATGCAAGGGATTAATAAAATCCAGCTTGTATCCATTAAGTCATTCACTGATTTATCAAGTCTGACTAATAGGAACAGACGTCATAAAAACATCTCAGCATGGCCATGCAATTTTCTCAGTCATGACTTATCAGTGGGCCCCATAAGACATTAATCTCATTTAAAAAGAGTAGTGACAAATTCTATGTACGTAATCTACATTTCTGAATACGCGCTGCGGCATACCCAAAACAAAGCCTGTATACCATCCTTATTTCATATAGCTTAGGACAATGCATCAAAGTCTGCGGGTTCACATATGCAGAAAACGTAATACTTCAAGTCAAAGGATAGTTACACCCATGGTCGCGCTAAAGATGCTTAGAGCATGAACTAAAAATTCAAGCAACATCTTTAGAATGGGTCAGTCCGGCATCCTATTATCTCTACATAATATCTTCCCATGTGCGGATGCGAACACACCGTCATTGACCATGAGACTAAGTCAAACATCCAACACACACTAGTCTCACATGCATTAACGATATCCCACTCTCGTTAATACTCGACTATGGACATTCAGATAAATATTTATTTCAAGATGTTAGTCTCATCAGCAAAATAATACTATCTGATAAACATCTTTAAATATAAATCTAGGAATATAATATTTGTTTACATTAGCATGAGATGTGTAAACATATTATATCTGCCTATAGATGATAGAATAATGATAAACAGTTGGCCATCAGGGCACAACTCCAACAGGTTCAACCATTTATTTATTCGCAACATAAAAAAAAATTCTTGGTCTCAGCGTAAAAAAAAGCATCTACAATAATAATGATGAGTCTGAGCATTCCATACCACAGAGAAGAGGGTCAATAACTTTGATGGGGAAGAAGGTTGTTGGACATGCTAAACAGAGAGCAGGGGGAAGGCAACTGGATAAGGTGGATATGGTAAGAAGGTTTGAGGCCACCATTTATTTAGGAAATAAATAAGGGTAAAATAGATAAATCATTTCTACTGACGGTGGGTTGACGATGGGTTAGACGGAAACACCCCCCAGTCTTAAACAATAAATTCTAGAGGACCCTCAAGTAATTTTTGATAATTTGGGACCTCACAGTCTTTACCACAAAACCTAGGGTACCTAATAGTAATTTTTTGTAAATTTAAGCCCAATTACCTCATTCGGCAGTCATATCTTGGGCCCAGTAAGTCCGATTCTCAATCCATTCGCGCGGTCAGGTTTAGAGCAGCGTGCCTTACAACGTAGGTCAACTCTCATATTAAATATGCAAATTAGAAAATAATCTTCGTATTGTCCGACTTAGTAATTAATTAATTATATAAATTAATAAAAATTACCAAGCCGGGTTTTGGGGCGCTACAGGCCTCGTGAAGATGATGAAGAAATACTTGGTCTAGTAATACCATATCTGAGTACTATTGAAGCTTTGATGTATATGGAGAATAATACTCTATCATATATGCCATTCTTAGTGAACTTGTTAGTTAAGCACAGTTCAACTCCGACTAAAAGGCATTGGAATGACATTAAACACATTTTTTAAATTCTCAAAGGAACCATTGACCTTGGTTTATTCTACCACAAAAGTGCCAACGCCACTCTTGTTGGATGTGCTGATACAGGATATTTGTCTGGTCCACAAAAGACAAAATCTCAAACAGGATATGTGTTTATTTATGGAAATATTGCAATATCATGGAGATCGATAAAGCAAACTTTGACTGTCACATTATCAAATCGCGTAGAGTTGATAACTCTCTACGAAATAGGTAGAGAATGTGTATGGTTGTGACCAACGATCCAACATATCTAGAGCAAGTGCGGTATAGAAACGATCACTAGCCATTCGACTCCTACACAACATTGCATGCACTGCTCAAGTTAAAAGCGGCTACAACAAAGGAGACCGAACAAAGCATATATCGTCAAAGTTCTTCTCAACACATGATCTCGAGAAAAATGGAAAGGTTGACATCGAGCGAATCAATTCTAGTGAGAACCCTGCTGATTTATTTACAAAAGCGTTGCCCCCAAAGAAATTCAAAGAACTTGTACACAAGATTGACATACGTCGCCTCTGTCAAATATGCTAGGCTGAGGGGGAGAATTTTATGCACTGTACTCTTTTTCTGTTGATTAAGTTTTTATCCCTCTGGGTTTTTCCTGACAAGGTTTTAACGAGGCAGTACATAAAGTTAGAATGACTCTCAAAGCTACGCTCATTTCACGAAATACCCATCATTAGTTGAAAAATGAACATTCAAGGGGGTGTTAAGAAATATATGAATTGTTCATTTATCAATTAATTAGGTCATGTTCCATCATAGTTGTAGGAACAAATCATTTATCATCATCAAGTTGTCATTTGTATATTATGTATACTCTTTGTAATAGTGTTCCCACTAAACCTCTCCACTATAAATAGGAGGCTTAGAATCCCTACAAAGGCATCATTAAGACATTAACAATAAGAAGAAGAGTGAAGAATTCATAGAAAAAAATAGAAATATATCATATCATATCTTCATAATCTCTTAATAGTTTTTCTTCCATTTTATAACAAAGAACTTTTTATTATAATACAGGGTAATAAAATTAATATGGAGTACAAAGACCATGTCGTCAGTAACATCACTATGACTCTTCCATTGGGCCGTTGGCTCTTCATTCTTTAATAGATTGAGAAATTATATATATGAACATATTCAAATTGTAGTAACTAGTTAATATTGCTAAAAAACACAGCAATAAAATTAATGATTAATCCATATGAATTTTGCACGAGCATGTCTTCCAGACCAATAAATACATAACAGATGTAAGCTCATTTTAATGTATGATCTCGGTTGAATAAGTTCTGATTTGATCTGAATATAGTTATATTTAAAGCCGTTTCTGATATGATCTAAATCTAATAAGAAAAAGTAATATAAGAAGCTCTTAAACAAGTGATTCACATGCACCATGAAATTGGCTTTATTAAATGCCATGGCCAAAGTGAGATAAAGAGCACACTGCCCGAAAGCAGCTTCTCTGCCACTTGGGGTATTATTGTCTTTTAGATAGAAATGGCAGCTTCATCACCAGAAGTGTCACTGTCACTAGAGCTACTGGCACTGTCACTCCCGCTACTGCTGCTGCTGCTGTCGCTGCTCCCACTGCTATCGCTCCCGCTGCTACTGCTGGAGCTTGAAGTGTGGTGCTCGTCCCCCCCTCCTCCATTTGCTTGTCCTCCAAGCGCTTCTCCCGCGTTAAGGCCATTCTCCTCTTCGTCACTTCCAATCACATCGGCAAATTCTTCCCCATCCGTTTCGTTTTGGTGTGGTTTGTTGATGTCGATTTCGTTCACCGCGATATCCCCTCCTCCTCCTCCATTGGCTGCTGCATCACCCTCCACTTCATCGTCGTTCATTATATCCAGCTGTTCGTCCAAGTCATCACTCTTTGCATCGGGTGACGAGTTTGGGTGGCTAAAATGTGAAGATGGATAACCGGGTGACATGTTTGGCGGGTTGGCATGGGAAGATGGATAACCGGGTGACATGGTTGGCGGGTCGGCATGCGAAGATGGATAACCCGGTGCCATGTTTAGCTGGTCGGCATGTGAAGATGGATAACCAGGCGGCATGTTTGCCTGGTTGGCATGTGAAGATGGATAACCGGGTGACACATTTGGATGGCTGGCATGTGAATATGAATAACCAGGTGGCATGTCTGCTTGGTTGGCATTTGAATATGAATAACCAGGTGGCATGTCTGCTGGGTTGGCATGTGAATATGAATAACCAGGTGGCATGTCTGCTTGGTTGGCATGTGAAGATGGATAATCAGATAACATGTTTGGTTGGTATGCGTGTGAGGGATAATCAGCAGTTGTATCATTCTTAAGTCTCATGTCTATATATTAGCGAAGTAAATATTAGTAGCCGGAAAAATAATCATCATTACTCATATGAATCTATAATAATGATCATTACTCATATGTATCTATGATAGCATTCCTTTTTTTAGTAAAGCGTGCTCTAAAACTTCAGATATATTACTCCTTCCAGAAAATTACTCACGGGTGACGCGAGTTTTGTTGAAATAACTCTCAGGTCCCTCTATTTTCAAGAAGACAGCAGAGGTCCTTACATTTTGTTGTAATGACTGGAAGGAGACATTTCATCCAATATTTCATCTATAAACGTTAATAAATGTATTTTTTTCCTATTCTTTTCTAAATGTTTTAAGGTAATAAATCTTAGGTCGCTCCTTCTTTTATTTCTTTGTTTTTCTTTCATTTTGTTACTATTTTTTAAAGTGTTATTTTAGAATTTCTTCTATAAAATCGT